TGCTGGCGAAACGTTAGGAAACAAAACTTCAAGAACACAGCCACACAGCCTGGAAGACCCACACCAGCCAAAAAGCTCTAACTTTGATCATAACTTAGACTATTCTAAGACCTTCTAAAGCAAGGTAATCTGGCTAAAATATAGCACCAAATTTATGATTTGTGAGCCACTGTCAAATCAGGATCAAAACCCAATTAAAAAAAATAACAGATTTTGATTTGACATTGAAGCTGAAATAACAAAACATAATTTCGTACATTGCTCCATACTTCAAGACCACTACAAAGTCTTGGGAGGTGATAGAGGGAAATCTTATACAACAGGTGGAGAAACTGGGTGGCATGCATTTGCAACTCCAGAACTGCCCTAGCTGAAGCGGACTGGAATTTTTGAACTTTTTTTTTTTCGGAGAGAGTTGAGGGGTTTAAAGGCAAAATAAATTGTTAGAGCCTTCTAGTTTAAAGACACACTCAACATATGAAACTCCCAAACTCCCCTCAATTAGCTTGAAAGCCACCCAAAATGAAAAAAAAAAAGGCAAATATGTCAGCTGTTCCCACTGTAGTGATAGCACAGCATCACTAGCCAATTGCAGTCCTCAAGAAGGGCATAAAGAGAAAGCACTGTTCCCAGATTCAAAGGAGTGTCGACCCCTACAATATGCCACAGCTTGCCTTACTCTTTCTAATATGAATAATGGGTTTGAGACTATATAAATCATATAGTTTGTGCAAATTTTGAAGTGGCGTGAGGTCTGAATCAATCCTTTATTTTATATTGTCTTTAAAGACTAACATTGCTTTTTATGTGTTTTTAAAGCTAGGAAAACTTTGCAACTATTTTACTTCTGTTTAGTTCTATTCATAACAACAAATTATTTTTATAGGTTCAGCTCCCTGGATCAAGTTTACAGGCTGCTGCCCAGTCCTTAAATGTACAGGTAAGAATTACTATAAATTTCACATCTGTATCAATCCATTTAGTTGCAATATGAATAGTGTGGCACAGTAATTATTAACTTAGGTGTTCGATATATTAATGCTGTTGAATTATTAAAAAAGAACTCCTTTTATATTATGGAAGCAGATATCATCATCATCATCATTATTTTATCCTGCCTTTTCTAAATACAACTCTGGAAAGTTATGCAAAGTTGGAGAAAATACATTTCTTTTCATTAGTTGAATCTAAAACTTGTTTATTTCTGTCAAAGATATATCTGACTGATTAAGCTTTGTGTGCTATATGATGCCATGTAGCATTGTGATCCACCAATTCTTTCTGTTCATTAAGACATTCAAACAATATATTAAAAAAGAGAAGGAATATAGCAGGTAGTATTTTGAAGTGGCTTCATTGTAAGAATACTAAAGACCGAAAACTATTCTTGAAGCCCTCTGGAACATACATCTAGTTACATACGATGCTTCTGAAAGGAGTAGGAATAGTGACCTTCTTCTGTAAAGGAGAGGCTGAACATTGCCTTGGTTGCCATGGTAAACTTTCAATCCCAGAGAGAGATGTTGGCAAACAGGCTATATCTCCAGTGCAGAATGTTTACAGTCCTGTGCTGTAATTATCTCTCAATGACTGGCAGAATTAATCAGAGCCTCTATGTTAATTAGCCTGCTCTGCAGTCCCCAAACAGGTGGTGGAAAATATGCAAATCTATGCAGAATTTTAATGTTCTCCATAAGCAGTTTTAATTAGCATAAAACCCTCTTCTTGGGTCCCCCCCCCCTTTCCTTGTGCTTTCTTACATGTATTTCCTACCTTGTGGCTATACTAATTTGTCTTTCTATAAAATAGTTTGAATATGTGAACTGTGCTTGCCTTTATAAATACCAGAACTTTACTGGTTAGAGATAATGTGTGTATGGTGAGTGTTGGTTTTCTTTCCCTTGGTACTTTTTGGTATACAAACATTATTAAACTAATATCTTGTTTAAATTGAATGCAATGTTGATAAGATGGATACATGGAAATTGCCCTGCTCTGATCCAAACCTTCAATGTAGTAGTAATGGCAGGCTGTCCCAGTAATTCACCGGGTTGGGCAATGTCACATACTTGGTAAAGGTATGCATCTAAGAATATCAGTAACGTTGCATTGACTGGGGAAGTTTGGAAACTTTAGCAGCACTAATTAATGAATTGGTTTAAACCAATATATAAGTGATAGGGAGATAATAAATTGGAGGCTCTATGTATTCATTTCTATTCAACCAAGAAAATAACCTGAAATTACTGCTCTTTTCTTTTGTTCCAAATGTTTTGTTTTTACTGGTGCAAAAGTAAATACAATCCCATCTATTACCTATATTTACTTATGTTAATGAATAAGCTTTTTAAAGTGTTTTTTAAAAAGAAATTGATTCACAATCAATGAAAAGGAAAGACACTACAATAGAATATGATTTTGTCCACATTAATAACTGCTGTGTTCTACAAAGTTTGTATTTTTCTTTCTCTAGTCTAAATCTAATGAAGAATCTGGGGACACTCAGCAGCCAAGCCAGCCTTCACAGCAGCCTTCAGTTCAGGCAGCCATACCGCAAACGCAGCTCATGCTGGCTGGAGGGCAGATTACTGGGGTAAGATCAGCTGTAGTAAATGAGACTGAGCAACCTTCTCAAGTTGTTGTATTAGTCAATCAACCAATTAAAGAAAAATGAAGTAATCCCAGTGAATCTAATTTTATCAATATTATGCATACCTGTAAATCTCTTGACAAGGTCATAAAACTGAGATCACTTTGGTTTTCCTGATGGTTAATCTGTGTGCAGAGAGAAAGTACAAAAGTCTCTTTGCTGTCACTTCTAAATATTTCAATTTCATATGGTATTCTGGATTGTAATATAGTGTAGTCCTTTGATTTCTAAGCCCAATATATTGTATTAATGTTTAAGTTTCATACTTTTAGTTTTATATGCGGTGGCAGTGGTGGTCTGTTCTTGCTTGCTTCACAAAGACAATATTTAAATATACTATAAATACATTTGAAATCTCCTAAGTAATAGCAGCTCTATTGCAAAATAATCATGACTATAGAAATAGATAATTGTAATAAAGCCTCTCAGTATAAACTGTCTGTTTATTTTTTACATATTGTTTTGTACTGTTTTGAAAATCAACTATAAATTTTAGAAGATAAGTGCACCTGTGATGAAATCAGTAGCATCATAGAAATAGCATTGTAACTTATTACGTAAGAGTCAAATAAGAAATGTATTGGTGTCTCTGAAGTCATATTCATGAACATGAAATCAGGTATTTTAATCTTCATCCTAAAGTGTAACTATTGATTAAATGTTTTGGTTTGTTGAAATTCTCTTTTTTGTATAGAAAAATGAGTCTTTAGATCAACATTTTAAAAGTTAGTATGAGATGAAAAGCTTTTAATATAGGCAGTCATTGCTTATTTCAATTGAGCAAATGGATGCCAGAACAACAGTAAAGTAGCATTATATAAATTATTAATTTCCATATTTAGTGAACTTTACTGTAATCTGAGTATAATTCTTTAAGGCTTTTACTTTGAATATGTGTGAATGTTTGCATGCACCTATTAAGCATCCTTCAGGCTTATTCAAACGCTGTCTATATCACATTGCTAAAATGTTCTTGGCTATATAGGGAGTAGATCCAGGTCTTTGAATCCAGCAGCTCTCTCATTACAGAAACTGGGAAGAATATTAATGTATCAGAGGGAGTTCAATGCCACCTGTTTCATAGAGATAATGCATGTTTGGAAACTGGCAGAGATGTCAACTTACCAGCTCAATGTTATCAAAACAAAAAGGCAGACAGAAGGGGGTGCCTTGGAAGGGAACAAATGGTGCACATGTTCCTCATCTATATCTTAAGGCATAATGGGGATGATGGAACATGGCAGGGATTCATACTAATGTGAAGCAGCTGGAGTATTATCAGTTTGTTTGGTAACCACAGCCAGTATTGCTATTTTTCATTCATCTGGCTAATCACTTGTGCTTCTGATGGATGTAAATTTCCTTTCAAAGCCTGTCAGAGATGGCTTGTTCTTTTTGCTTGCTGTTTCCTGTCAGTGCTGTTTCTTTCCATTGCTTGCTTGCTAATTACCTTTTTCACATTAATCTTGAAGCAGAGTCATAGAGAAGCTTGCTTCTCTGATCCAGTGGTACGGATGGTCACAATAATATGCCAGCATTATTTGAGTGATGTAAAATTAACTGGATGGCTTGATTTTTTTTTTATTTTTTATTTTACTGAAGCAATATAAGGTAGCTTGTCTAATAAAAACTTCTCAGGAATTAACAAAAGGTACTTAAGAAAAGGGCTTTTCCCTTGTTTTATTAATTACTGTCCTCAAACTTGTTTCTAGCTTACGTTAACACCAGCCCAGCAGCAATTATTGCTACAGCAGGCACAGGCACAGTTGCTGGCAGCTGCAGTGCAGCATTCAGCCAGTCAGCAGCACAATGCTGCAGGCGCCACCATCTCAGCTTCTGCTGCAACGCCCATGACACAGATTCCTCTATCTCAGCCGATACAAATTGCACAGGTGAGGTTTCAAACGATTAATGGCTTTAGTTGGCCAAATATGTCTTCTTTTGTTTGTTCACTGAACAGCTGAAGATAGATCCATAATATACTGTGTTCTAAGAATGTCTTGGGTACACAGTAACTGCCATATCCCTGTTGCAGAAAGCTTGTAACTTTTTAAATGAAATATAAATGTGATTACTACATTTTTATTGTTCAAAATAGGTGTTATATTTGTGTCCTCCTCCATCTACCTTGTACTTCTTTTCTCCAGTTCATTTCCTGCTAACTTGGCCAAGAAGTTATTTGCTATTACATCCAAGTTACACAAGCAAGGATGTATGCCTACAAATCTGAATTGGAAACTGTAGTTTGAAGAAGGGATTTCCTTTCATGTCTTCTGTTCAAACTGTGGTTTGAAGAAGGGGTGGCAAACAATTAACTATTCAATCCAGGGGGGAAGGAAATAAAAATGAAGTCAAAAGTGGGAGCATGAAGCCTGTTCATAATATCAAATAAAATTGGTTGATAAAGCTGAACTGTGGAGCCAGTTGAAAGCTATTCATCGAGCAAGCAAAACTTCACTTCCATATCGTTTTGTAACCTCTAGAACCTTTTCCACTGTAGACTGAAGAAAATGGTTTCATCATTTTCTTATTAAACAGCCTTTGCTTTGCTTATTTGGATTTCTGTTGTAACATACCACCAAATAACTGTTTCTTGTAATAGATTAGTCAGTAGAATCATTGAGTTGGAAGAGGCCATATAGGCCATTAAGTCAAAATCCGTGTGCTTAGTGCAGGAATCCAAATTAATTCAGTGGCAAATGGTAAATCAGATTCAGCCTCTACCTGAACACATCTAGTAAAGGGGAGACCAATAACACTATTGTACAGTAATTGGTTCCATTAGTAAAGTACTCTTAGAGTTAGGAAAGTTTGGCCTTGACCAACTAACTTTGATTTAACTAATCAGACTGTATCAGAGACATTAAGCAGATTTTTAAAAATTATGTAGTGGTGTTTCTTATCCTCTGTCTAGCTTCTGTTATTAATAATATTGTTATACAACATTATTATGTAACAGCCGGATGGATAATAATGTAAATAACAAAGCACTTTTTTGTATATCATAAAAGAATGCTTGCGCTGTCCCTTTTTTACCTGTGTGCTTGCTGAAAGGTTAGCTCAGTGGTTTGTTGCCTCTGAAAGACTCTTGCCAAAGTTTCACTGATCATCGTGTCAATCTATCAGTATGATTCCCAATATTAATTTTGTAATATAGAAAAGCAGCAAACATTACTATTATGATGAACTAGTCTTGGCCATCTCCGGAGTGCGCATTTATATTTCTTCCCTTGCCTCTCATGCATAAATGGGGAATTCCTACACACTTTGGTGGGTAGAAGGGAGAAAAGGTCATAGAGAAAGGCACTATCTTGCCCCTTCTAAATATGCCAGTTGCTTGCACAGAAGTAGATGCATGAAAAAAATAGAGGCAGAACCCATTGGATCTTCCTGCTATTAAAGAAAGCTGCAGAAAAATCTCAGTAGGGTCTGCTGCTTGCCTTTTTCATGAGCCAGATGGCTGATGAGAACAAAAACTGCTACTGTCCTGCCCTTTCACAACTTTCCTATTAGCAAGGGACAGGTACAGAGAATGAAAGAGCCAGCTTAAAATATCAGCATTTGCTAAGTGTTAAGCGTTTATTTCTGTTACAAACATGGCAATATATCTGAAAACCTTGAAAGGGGTGATAAAAATGTATTTCTTTATCTCACTTTTTTCCACGTGTTCTCTTAAAAAGTATATATAGGTGTATTGTGTTCAGAGAACAAGACATTTGGGGTCCTTTTTCCATTGGCTTTGTTTTACTCTAAAAAAGGGAAGGAGGGGATGTTTAGTTTTGGATATTTCATATGTTTTCCTTCTCGAAGGATCTGCAGCACCTGCAGCAGCTCCAGCAACAGAATCTCAATCTGCAACAGTTTGTCTTGGTGCATCCGACAACCAACTTGCAACCAGCACAGTTCATCATCTCACAAACACCGCAGGGGCAGCAGGGTGAGCAAAACGTTGCTAAGAGGATCTTTTAGAATATTTCACGTAGCAAAGCCCTGTATTTTTGAGAAACCATGTTTTAAAAACATTTGGTTATAGGCCTGTTCATTTCAGGGGAAGAAAAAAATGATCCTTCTCCTGGAACCATCTGATTGACTATAGTCAACTGATCAGGATGTACCTATTCTTACTCAAAATGTCCCTTTATAAGAATAATTTATTCTTACAGTAGCTGTAAAGGGTAAAGGAATGTATCTCCAAAGTAGTCTTGTTGTAATTGCATATTTAGTAATCAGCAACAAATTTTACATTTCCTTGGAATGTTTAGAAGTTGTTCAGCTGCATCACCTGCTTGAAGCTTGGGCATCTAACCTTAATAGCTGATTGATTAAGTGAGCTTGTTTTCAGCAAATTCTGCGAATCTTCTAGAAGAGTCTATTACAAGAATAATATCTTTATGTTTCTGTCTTTTTTTTTTGGCTTAAAGGAAGCACAAAGAGCTTGTAGGTTGTACAGTAGATAAAGACAAATAATGTGCACTTCCCCTTTTCCTCCTTTTGTCAGGATGTCATTTTAAGGGCAATTGTACCAGCCATTATTAAATACTAGCTTTCTAGGAAAGGGATGGTAGTGTAATTAGCTAGAACAAAGATTCATTTGTATATTGCTAATATCACCTGTGGAGAAATCTGATAACTAACAGCTAAGAGCAGAACCCCTACTTAGACATGGAGCCCTATAGAGAATTTTCTTAGTAATGGCTTGGCTTACCATAGGAGGAGCCCCGTATGGAGTTTTTGGCTAACAGCTCACAGTGGGAGTTTTATGGGCAAAATACCCTGAAGACTTTTTGGACAGGGCCTCTGAAATATTGTAGTGGTTAAACACCCTGAAAATGTTTCCGTGACTATCTCTGTGTGCAGATTCCGCAAGGAGTTTTTTGTACTAACTCTAGTAAAAGATGTACACACATGCACATATAGAGAGAGGCCTAACACTGAGAATGTAACATTCATCTCAGCTTCTCCTCCATTGCTGCACTGTTAGCGGGTAAGACTGCATAATTTTGGTGTAGATTAAATTGGTTTAGGTTGAATTTAAATGTTAAAGCTTAGGTGTAGAAGTAAGGCTTAGAACTTAGAAACTGGTATCTGGTATCAAAACTTGCTAATTACTATTTTAAGTATAATTTCCCTATTTTACTATTTTGGAAATCTAGATATTAACTATTACATACGCACAAGCAATTAAAACCATCGACTCTCATAGTATAGCTTCTAATATGAATTGTTTTGCTGTGTGACTTATTCATGGCGTACCTGATCCTTAAAAATCACTCCAAGTGGAATCTAATAAGAGGTGTATTGTTAGATCTTTAACCTGACAATTTCATCTGGTATGGCTGGATCAAAAAGATTGGAAGCATGTGCATTTGTTTTAAACTAGCCACAGCTTTCTGTTACATCCACAGTTTGGAAAACTGTAGTCACTACAAATCAGAAGTAGGCATCCTTTTCAGATACAAAAGCCACATTAATTTATGAGGTCTGAGGTTTTTGTTTTTCTTCCCCATCCTTTGAGAGGATGGGAAAGACATGTACATGCAAACACTGAATTTTCTGTAAGCCCACATACCTCCATCAAAGTTATTGGGAGGAAGCATTAAATCTTGCCTTTTCCTCTATAGTAAAGATTACTGTGCACAACACTTAATTAAATGGTCACCAGTTTAGTTGGTTTTTAAATGGGACTGCTGTAGGCAAATTCATGGAGGAGATGGCTGTCATCAACAATATTGAACAAAAGAATCAAAGGGAGCATACCCTAAACATGATTTGCTGAATGCTTTTAGCTAGCACAAAATAACGGCTTTGTTTGTTCATTCATTCATTCATTCATTCATTCATTCATTCATTCATTCATTCATTCAGTTTAGGCACTGCCAAGCTCCAAACTGATTCTGGGTGGTTTACAATATAATAAACAAAAACACAATACAAAACAAAGCAAGATAGGATCCAGTTGCTCTAGATAAAAGCAGAGAAAAACACATCCAACAAGAGGTTCCGTTCATCTTAACCCAAGGCCTGGGAGGTCTTTAAGGCCTTACAGAATGCCAACAGGGTGGGAGTCATACTGATTTCAGGGGGATTTCATTCCAGAGGGCAGATAGAGAAGTCACACTTCCTGGGTCCTGATAGATAGCACAGTTTAATCAAAGGAACCTGGAGCATGCCAACTATATCAGCACATACCAACTGGGCAGAAACCAGGGGAGATAGATGGTCCTTCAAATAACCTGGTCCTATGCCATGTAGAGCTTTATAAGTTATGACCGGCATCTTGAATCACACTCAGAACATGCTGGCAACCAGTGCAGCTCGCAAAGTGGAGGTCTCACATAGGCATCCTGAGGTATGTCTATCACTGCCCACACTGCTGCATTCTGGCCAGTTGAAGCTTCTGAATGGTGTTCAAGGGCAGCCCCTATGTACAGTGCATCGTGGTAGTCAAGCCATGAGGTGACTAGGGTGTGACTGATTTTCTGAAGGGCCTTCTAAGTCAGGAAGGGGCACATCTGGGTCACCTGATGGAGCTGTACAAAGGCCCTCTTGGTGTCAGGCCCAGCCCAAGAACAGCAGGAAAACAGTCCAGCCAAGTTCAGTTCTTTATTGCTTACACCATATAGACAGAATCTTGCCAAACTAAATCTGTACATGCTAACCTAATAGACTGTGGGAGAATCTAGGGAGTGGCTATCTTAAGTCTCTTCTTCTCACACTCTGCTCTGGACTATGTGGCCTCTTGCCTCCCCCCTGGAATGCGCTCCCTCCTTTCTGAGAACCTGGATCTCTACTGCATTCCATCACACCTGGCCACAGCTGCCATATGCTTTTCAAGCAGGAGCTGTGAGTCCAAAGGACCGCCAGATTATTCATACTCTTAAATGGGGAAATGTTATCCCATCCAAGAGCATAGATGGAAACTCCCTGGGTGCAGGAGACCCTAATATCCACAGCCATTTAGTCTTAATAGGATTGTCAGCATTGGTCCATCCAGATCTGCACAGCTTCCAGGCACTGGAACAGGACCTCAACAGCCTCACTTGGCTGGCCTGGTATTGAAAAATATATTTGGGTATCATCGGAATATTGGTGTTACCAAACCCCAAACCAGCGGATGATCTCGCTGGGAGTTCGGTGACATATACATATAATAAATTGTTGTTGTTGTTGTTACCGTCATCATTATGTCACTCAAGGCTTCATGTACAGTAGTTGTTAAACAGGAAGGGAGAGAGCGTCAAACCCTGTGATACTCCACATAAGAGGGCACCAGGGGATTACCTCCCTCCCTGCGAACAGCAATTGGGACTGGCCATTAAGGAAGGAAAAAAAAAACACTATAACATGGTGCCCTCAGTTCTCAACCCCTGAACCCGATCCAGAAGGATACCATGATTGATGGTATCAAAGTATGCTGGGATATCAAGGAGCACGAGGATGGGTGCACCAAGTCCATCCCAGCCCTGCCACAGGTTATCAAATAATAATAGTAATAACTGCCTAGTTAGCTGCTGCAAGAAGATCACAAAGACTGACTACAAACAACAGCATGACATAGTAGCAACAATGGTGCATTGGAATATCTGCAAAAAATACCATTTGCCTGCAAAAAAGAACTGGTGGGACCACAAAACAGACAGAGTAATAGAAAATGAAGATGCTAAAGTGCTCTGGGACTTTAGAATTCAAACAGACAAGCACTTGCACATAATACCCCAGACTTAACAATTGTTGATAAGAAGTACAAAAAAGCCTGGATAGTGGACATTGCAATACCTGGAGACAGGAGAAGAAGAGAAGAGGAGAAAGAAAAGAGAAGAGAAGAGAAAGAACTGGAGAATATCACAAAATAGACCTGCAAAGTTAGTACCAATAGTAATAAGCACCTTAGGTGCAATCCCAAAACATCTGGAGCGCCACTTGAAGACCATTGGCATTGACAAAATCACCATCAGTCCATTGCAAAAGGCAGCTTCACTTGGAACAGCCTACATCCTGTGACGATACCTTTAATACCCATCAAGCAACATCTGCCTATCCCAGGTCCTTGGGAACTTGATAAGTGGATAAAAATGCCAAATCCAGTCTAAAAAACCAGCTGACTGTGCGACCAACAATAATAATATATTAAATGAATGTGACTAAAGCAGTACCAAATCCTGGCCTGAAACCCAACTGAAATGGGTCTACATAATCTACTTCCTCCAGGATTCTCTGCAATTGCAGACTGATCACATTCTCACCAACCTACAGGACTAAAATCATTGGGTCCAAGACCAGCCTCCTGAGGACAGGCTGCACCACCACCTCCTTCACGGTGGAAGGCGCCATCCACTCTCTCAACAAGGCGAACCCCACAGCATGGATCCAGCTGCAAATCACCTCCCTGACCACCTTAACAACCCAGTAGGGACTTGGGTCCAGAAATTTGTGGCCGAACTAACAGAGCAGAAAACCCTGTCCACTTCCTCAAGCATCACCAATTCAAACTCATCCCAGATCACACTACAAGACTGAACAAAGGCAACTTTGGCCAGAACTATCCACTTCGAGTCCAGCTCGGAGAGGATCTGAGCAACTTTATCCACCAAATAGCCGGAATATTCTTCTCAGCAGGGACTGAGTTACCCTAAAAACAGCCACTGGACAGTTACCAGCAGACACAGTAAGGACGGAGAAATATTGATATTTTGCTGCCCTTATCACCATGAAGAAATACCAACTATGGGCTTTTACCTGTATTAGGTCAGACTCACTTAGGGTCTTCCTCCAAGCATAGATGTCCAGCAAAAGGAGGACATGTCCTCCTTATTGCCTTATGTCTTCCGTCCAGCAGGCATAGCCTTAAAATCAAATATTGTCAGGCTTTTTGAATATCTACAAGCTGTGTTCCTGAGCAACTTTTTTCTCTGGTGTAGCACTTCTAAGTACAAGTTAACAAGCTCTGCTCTGTGACCTTAATTAGTTGATTAGGACCCTGGGCCAGTTTGGGCTGCTGCCTGAAATTGATAAGACCTTAATCAGGTACACACTGAAGGCTTTTGCCTCCTAAGGGCTCTAGCACATTCCTGTTAAAAAACCAGTCTTTCTATGCTGGAAAAAGTAATTTCATAATACATATAGGCCTAAGTACTTTTTTTTTTTGAGTTTTTACTGTAATTTTTGTTACAACACCAAGGAAGTTAAGAGTTAGTGTGTCCTTCTATTCCCCCCATTTGTCCTGCTTTCCAGTTGTTCATATTCTCCTTTGCCTGATCATCTATCTGGTGTCTGCCTCAGTCATATGAGATGTTGCACTACTTAGAATGGGCTTCATAACCTGAGGCCCAAGAGTTTTAGGTGACTATCCAAAACATTTGGTCCTTCAAGCATTTATAGTTCTTTGGGATTCTTAATGTGATAGAAGGGAAAATTAAATATATTGAAATTTTACATTTAAAGTAAAGCAAAGAACGTTGTATCATACTTTTTTGCTTTATTACCCCCAGCCAGTAGTCCAAAGGCCAAGTGCAGACTATGGCTTGAGAGACTGTGCTGTTTTTAAGAAAGTAACAAAGTTGATATAGACTTCCTTTAACAGTAGGCTGGGCTGCAAGTATGGTACATGTGAAGAAATATGCATTCTGTGCTCTCTAGAACCTGTACTACAGTAAACCATGCTAATTGATTTCATTTATGTACATGTTTTGCAATTTTCAGGTCTCCTGCAAGCGCAGAATCTCTTAACGCAACTACCTCAGCAAAGCCAAGCCAACCTCCTGCAGTCTCAGCCAAGCATCACTTTCACCTCTCAGGTAAGTTTATTGTTTGTTTGCTTGTTTATTTTGTTTAATGCTGCTTACTGATGAGGATAGGATGGAAGAAATAGTGCATGATTTGAGTTGTTGGTCTCATTCTTCAGGATTATTTGTAGGACTGAGGTGGTCCTCAAAAGACCTACCATGTCACCTATAGGTTCACACGCTGCTGCTGCTGTTTCCCATGCATTTTGCCTCAACAGCCACAAATTTACTAGACAAGGGGAGACATGGAATGACATTATCAGCTCAGTTGCATTCTCAATTGCCTGCAAATAGATATTTGGTAGGCTACTGGAAACATAGTTTTTTGGGGGAAAAGGAGAACAGGAGAGAAGTAATCCTGAGCATTCTCTTCTCAAACACAATCTTCATTTAATCACAGGTGGGTGATATGGTAAGTTAATACTCTTGCTCCTTCCCCGTCCCAGTGATCCTGATCATGGAAGCTGGGGAAATAGAGATGCTCTGATATCTCTTTTTAAGATCTTTCTGCTCTGAGCAGAGAACTTCTTTATTCAAGCCTTTGCTGACAGCCAATTCCATAGTTTAAGTACATGCTGTGTAAAATAATATTTCTTTCAGTCCTGAATCTCCATCTGTTTAGTTTCAGTGGATAATTTTGAATTCCAACATTATGAGAGTGGGAAAAAATGTGTATCTATCCATTTTATCTATGCCGTGAATGATTTTATATAATTCTATCATATCTTCCCTTACCATCTTAATTTCAAGGTAAAGAATCCCCATTGTTGTAGCCTTTCCTCATGGGAGGTGCTTCATCCCCCCAATCACTTTGGCTGCCCTTTTTTACATTATCTTCAGTGTTAAAGTGCCATGATCAGAATTGTACACAATAGTCAAGAGTGACTGCATCATAGATTTATATGTCATTATTATATTGACAGTTCTAATTTTAATTCCCTTCCTATGATTCCAAGCATGACATTTGTCTTTTGTACAGCAGCTGCTGACTGCATTGACATTTTCAAGCTGTCCACTGTTACACTGTTACAAGATCACCTTTTCTGGTCAGTTACTACCAGCTCAGATCCCATTAATATATAGGTGAATTTTAGATTTTTTTGTGCCAACATGTAACTGTTTACACTTGTTTACTTTGAACTATGTTTGCTTGTAAAGCAAATTCTTTACAATCCCATTTAATTTTACCACCTTGAAGAGTAGGCTTCCACTGCTACTGATCAGTCTCAGCTCCAAATAATTTATATACAAGTTGTCCTGAAACAGATCTTTGGGGGACTTCATCTTTGCACATCTCAGCATTATGAGAATTGAAAATTTATGCCTACTCTCTGCTTCCTGTTTTTACATTAATTGCTAATCCATGAGAGCACTTGAGAGCACTAGGACCTTTTGGTGAGGTTCTTTGATCAAAGCTTTTCAGAAATCCATGTAAAATATCTGTTGAGCCATCCTTGTTCATATGCTTGCTGATACCCTCAAAAATGTCAAGACTTCATTTTATATTATCATGAAATCATTAAAAAGTATTAAGTTCCTTCTAAAAAGCTATGATGATAGCAATCTTAGCTGTTGCTAGAATTGAAATAATGCATTCACACACACACATATACACACCAAACACTGTAACTGCTGAATAACCTTTGTGTGCAAAAGAGGTATCAGATTAAGCTATTAACATTATCTCAAGCTTAGTATTTCTCAGTGGAAAGCTGCTCGCACTCAGAGAGCTTAGATCCAATAAGTTTGTTTTTGCATCATTTTGGCTTGTTGTAATTTGCTAAAACTGTATTGCAGACATTCTGTGGGACACACATGCTATCATTTTGCTAGGCACCTGTGCTCCCTTCCCATCTCATTGACCAAAAGTACAGGTAAACATTGTAACAGAAAGATGCCAAGTGTCTTTGAATATCCAAATGGTTTCCAGAGGGTGCTTGGGGAATTTCCCAGCTCTCTGGAGGATATTTGGGTTCATTGCCTGGTGAGCCACTGGCAATTGGAGGCAAGCTGGGCACTGGACATGACTGCCCCCAAGTAGCATTTTTCTGGGGACTGATCCTGATTGGTGCCTCAGTTTGTTGAGGTCCCCAGGAAATAAAGCCCTGAAAAGATGCCTGCAGCACCAGTGGAGAAAAAGCAGAAAGCTGCCTGGCTATTAAATTAATCTGAACGGCATTTTGCCAGTAAAGTCACTTGGGATTGGCATGGGCATAATCTTTAGTGGTGACTAGACCACCGTTTAGCAATATTATCTGGAATACCTTTTGGCCTGTAAACTCTGGGGAAGTAAATAGGGTGCGGCCTAAACTGTCCTCTGCCACTTGCAGTCTAGATCCCTGCCTGTCCTGGCTGCTGAAGGAGCAGGCAAAAATGTGACCACTTAGATCCAGGAGATTGTTAATACCTTTTTCTAAGAGCAGGAGCTACCACCAATCTTGAAAAATGCTGTGATGTGCCATCTTCTGAAGAGGTCTTCCATGACTCTGGTGGTCTTAGATAACTATACCAGCTGTTGTACAGTCTCCCTAGGGAAGGTTGTTGTGGCAGTGGTAGTAGATCAGCTGTCCAGCACCTCAGAAAGAAACAGCTTATCTGGATCCTTTTCCATCATGATTCAGGTCTGGGTGTGGGACTGAGACAGCATTGGTCATTCTATTAAATGACCTACAGTATGTCAGGACCTTGATGGGGGCAGTGTGCTTCTTCTGGTCTTTTTTACACCCCACAGCAGCTTTCAATACAATTGACCATGATATATTGCTGGAAAGCCTACATAGGTTGGGAATTGGAGGCACTATTCTGCAGTGGTTCTCCTTCCTCAGTGGGTTATTGCATATTGTACTGGTTGGGGTTGACCCAGATTGGCACAGTGGTCAGTTCTCTGTCCCCTTTTTCACATATACATGAAACTGCTGGGAGGGAAATCCACTAGTCAGTGCGGCATCATCAGTATGCTGATGATACCCAATTATACATCATACCCAGGCTGTGGGGCAGATACTGTCAGTGTTCTAGTTCAGTGCTTGGAGCTGTAAAGGTTTGAATCGGAGGTAATGGGCTGAAGCTGATTCCAAGCAAGATGGAGTTGCTGTTTGTTTGTTGGCTTCTGTTGACATCAATATTACTCTGGACAGGCATACAGTACTTGTGAAGGAGCAAGTTCACAATTGGGGGATCCTTCTAGAATCATGGTTCCTGCTTAAAAAGCAGGTGGAAACTCTGGTTCAAGGGACCTTTGCCCAGCTTTGTCTCTGCACCAGCTGTGACCTTACCTGGTACAAGAGGACTTGGCTAGTGTACCTCATACCCTCATTGCAACCTGGTTAGATTAGTGCAGTACACTTTACATGGTCTTTCTTTAAAGACTACTCAGAAACTACAATAGGCCCAGGACCCAGTGGCCCATGTGTTAATTAATTGGCACCCATTGCTAGGAGCACATAACACCAATGTTACACTGTTTACAAATTTATTTATTTATATTTCAAATTTGGTCACCGTGCATCTCACCAGGGAGTGACTCTTTAAATTGGTTTCCAAGTACAATTTAAAGTGCTGGTTTTAACCTATAAAGCCCTTTGTGGTTTGGCACCTCAGTACTTGCAGGCCCACCTACTCCAACCTGAACTGGTCCAACCTATCCAGTCATTCAGAGAAAATCTCCTTGCAGTCCCACACTTCCAAGAGGCAAAGTGAGTCAAAGCTGGGAGGCACTGCTTTTCAGTGGCAGTACCACTGCTTTGGAATAATCTGGTGGAAATTAGACTAGCTCCTTCCATGAAGGCTTTCAGGAGGATGTTTAAAACTGAGCTATTTTAGAGAGTGTTATGTACTGTGCCATCTTTTGTATTTTTATTTAAATTGTGCTGATCTTGTTATATGTGTGAATTTTATAATTTAGTGACTGAACTGTATTTTTAAATGTAGAATGGGTGTTTTAATTTTTCCTGATACTGTGTCAGCTCCCAAGAGTTATTAGATTGGGGTTGGGTAGAAATGCATAACATTCCTTAGCTCAACATTCACATTGCATAGTGCTGCAGTTCCCAAATTGTGCCACGGTGCCCTGAGTCACAACAGCAAACTCACAGGAGCATCATGGGATATTTTAAATTTTGACCTAATTACTTAATAAACAGAATTGTTAGGTATTTCTTTTGGCCTAGGGCACCATGAAAAATGTACTGAGACAGCAAGGGTGCCGTGAACCACAAATGTTTGGGAACCTCTGGCATAGTGACATAAATTATTGGGGGGAAGTGCACTTGGATTGAAAACAAAACAATTAAAATAATTTTCTTGTAGTACATTATTACTGCGCTTTCCATCTTACTGTACTTTCCCACATTTCTTAGCAGCCAGCAACCCCAACACGCACAATAGCAGCGACCCCTATTCAGCCACTTCCACAGAGCCAGACAACACCAAAGCGAATTGATACACCCAGCTTGGAAGAGCCCAGTGATCTTGAGGAGCTTGAGCAATTTGCCAAGACTTTTAAACAAAGACGGATTAAACTTGGATTCACTCAGGTACGATTGCATTTCCGTTTAGAAGAATTTGATCACTGGTATTCAGATCTGAGAGTCTTAATCCCTTTTCCCAATTAGGAGTGGTTTCTTATTCATAAATTTGTAATATTATTTAATTATATTAATAATTATATATTTAAATAAACGCTTGGTGGACTTTTTTATCCAATTTGATAAGGGACCTTTTAAATTAATGGCTTTGAAGCATATCTGTTGGATTCCTAAAGATAATGTGTTAAAAAAAATAATTCTGGTTTAGACAGAGGTGACACTTGGCCTTGCAAACCTAATAATGAAGTTTCTTTGATAAGTGTCCAAGCACTTTACATATGCCCTATGTCTAAAACTCTGAAGACAAATGCAAACTGACAGCCAGGAAACCAGTGATCACCTGGATATTGTACTTGTGGTCTCCCTGGAATAAAACCCACAGTTTTATTCTGGCCAATAAAGGAAACATTCAAAGAAGTTGCCCCCCAACCCATCCCCCAAAAACACTTGGTTCTAATCATTAGTTATTTCAGACTACAAAAGAAAAGAGAAGTACATTCTGATTTTTTCCACCAGTAAAAGAAACCAGGGCTGTAGGTTGAAGCACCACTATCCAAGGAGAAGGACTTGCAAGAGAATACTGACCTGACCTCACATGACGATAAGCTCCTGTTTTCACCACTTTGTTCAGACCTTGAAATACTAATCTCATTCTTCTACCTTTCTCTCTGTGTCTTCTCAGTGTCATATATTTTTCATTTGTAAACATAGTGATAGAATCTATCTCTGTCTTTCTCCCTCTCTTCCACCCCATAATTGATGTGAGCTACTTTGAAAGAGACAGTGTTTGGCAGAATAACTAGATAAAAATCTTACATTTTAGAAGGCTTGGTTTATTCACAGAAGTGGTGAAAAGAGTCTCATCTTTCTTGCTAGAATAGATGGGGCATATGACTTGCCCTTACTTCATGCTATTTACTAAAAATGAGATGAGTGACAACAAAGAGAGACCCATCTTATTTGTAAGCAGTACTGAGAGTGCTTTTTTGGTCCCATTTCAGAATTTACACCATTTTTTGTATGGAGTCTGTGGTAAAACTGATTAAAATGAACACACACACCTGGAGATTGACCCATATTCAGTCCCATCCCTAATTTTGAATCAGTGGAATAAATGCATAGAAAGTCAAAGAATGTGTGCTTATGAATAAACAATGGACTGTTTTTGCATGTGCAATAGTCAGAAATCAGAGATGAAAGTTTAAGATTGTTCCAGTATCTTACATATTAGGCGCATTACAGTTGAATCCAGGAATCAAGTTTTGTGTTAGTAGCAACTTCTAAATGCTTGAAAATCTGTCAAAGTCTCAGCCTTTTTCTGAAACATGAAGATAGTACAAAAACAGTGCATTAATATACTATAACCCTCCAACAAGCTTAAATACTAAAAATATTCTTAGTTACGTTTTATCCTTGTTAATATTTCCAAGTAGGTTTCAGAAACAGGCCAACATATAAAATGTTGCAATAATCTAACTTCTTAGTAACTAAGGTATATAAGCTCATGAGACAGTTTGCCTTCTCCTGCATTACAAAAGTTTGCATTTCAAATGGGCTCTTGATCACTTCTACTGCCTGGAAATCCAAAAGCAAGTCTGGTTGAGAATATCACAAAACAGTACAAGTGAAACTTGAAAAATTAGAATATCATGCAAATGTTCATTTATGTCAGTATGGTTTCAAAAGATGAAACCAATATATGAGATAGATGCATTACATGCAAAGCGAGATATGTCAAGCCTTACTTTGGTATAATTGTGATGATTATGGCATACAGCTTATGAAAACGATGCTGTGTACCAACATGTTGGGTCTACTGCAGAAAGTGTTAATTGTAAGACTGATGTTCCACATTATGGCATATATTTGTGTCAGGCCCAATGATGCTGTGTACCAACATGTTGGGTCTACTGCAGAAAGTGTTAATTGTAAGACTGATGTTCCACATTATGGCATATATTTGTGTCAGGCCCAATGATGCTGTGTACCAACATGTTGGGTCTACTGCAGAAAGTGTTAATTGTAAGACTGATGTTCCACATTATGGCATATATTTGTGTCAGGCCCAATGATGCTGTGTACCAACATGTTGGGTCTACTGCAGAAAGTGTTAATTGTAAGACTGATGTTCCACATTATGGCATATATTTGTGTCAGGCCCAATGATGCTGTGTACCAACATGTTGGGTCTACTGCAGAAAGTGTTAATTGTAAGACTGATGTTCCACATTATGGCATATATTTGTGTCAGGCCCAATGATGCTGTGTACCAACATGTTGGGTCTACTGCAGAAAGTGTTAATTGTAAGACTGATGTTCCACATTATGGCATATATTTGTGTCAGGCCCAATGATGCTGTGTACCAACATGTTGGGTCTACTGCAGAAAGTGTTAATTGTAAGACTGATGTTCCACATTATGGCATATATTTGTGTCAGGCCCAATTACCAAAGTAAGGATTGACATATCTCGCTTTGCATGTAATGCGTCTATCTCATATATTGGTTTCACCTTTTGAGTTGCCGTACTGACATAAATGAACATTTCCATGATATTCTAATTTTTCGAGTTTCACCTGTAGATTTGGGTATCAGTAATTTGGGCAGAGTGCTTTAGTGGGTAGTGGCTAGAAATATTGAGGTATTTTGGGGATTACATAGATAAATCTATATTTTCTAGAGTATCTGGATTTAGAAATGGGGTTAGTTATAAAAATTGATGGACTTTGTCAGGATGAGGAGAGTAAGATGAATATGATCCTTCTAATTCTCCTTTATAACTGTCAGAAATGGAATTCTGAATAGGATGGGAACAAGTAAAGTCACATTTTTGATGCTGTGTACCAACATGTTGGGTCTACTGCAGAAAGTGTTAATTGTAAGACTGATGTTCCACATTATGGCATATATTTGTGTCAGGCCCAATCCAAGAACAACAGGGAAATAGTTCATCCAAATTCAGTTCTTTTATTGCTTACACCATATAGACAGAATCTTGCCAGACTAAATCTGTATTATTGCATATACCCTGGGAGATTCTAGGGAGTGACTATTCTAAATCTCTTATATTTCCCAAGCTCCTGCTGCGGACAGTGCTGTCTCGTGTTTCTCTGCCCTTCCTGAAATGTGCCCCCTCCTTCCTGAGAACCTTGCTCTCTTCTACAATCCACCACATCACACACACCCCCATAGATACATTCCATCACAATTTGTGAGAGAATGGACACAACATGTTGAGAACATCTGTATCCTTTCTCCTACCTATAACCAGCTAGGGGCCTCACCAGCTCTGAAAAGATGCCATTCTTCTTTAAAGATGTGAGGAAGATGTTCTTTTATTTTGGGACCCCTCTTGGTTGGAATTTGGTAGTGGAAAGAAGTGTGAGTGTATGTGAGAGAGCCTGTTGACTAATTATAGAAGACCTGCTCCAGAATAGAGGAGAACCAACAGAGGGTCAGCAACGTCAGGAAGAAAAATCTCCAACAACAGCACTGTTGTTTCATTGAAGCACAAAAGTAGCTCAGGGATGTCAGAGGACATCTGACAGACAAATGGAGTGGACCTTGTGCTCGAACAAACATCATCCTTTGCATGAGAGAGGGAAAATTGTGAGTTTCTGTGAGCATGGGCCAGAAGAATTGTAAGGAGTCATCACAAGGAAAATGGCCACCTCAAGGCAACAGGAGCAAGGGAAGGGTAACGCTAAAGGCATTTGCAAAGAGGTGTGCAAGTGAGAGCTTGATGGGAGCTGCAGAGCAGAAGAAGGCAAGTCAGCAAAAAGCCCCAGGCAGTATAAACTGGGAGAAGAAGCAGGCAAGCAATCTAACACACACACACACACATAACTTTATGGAGCTAGTCAAGAGTTGTAGCAGCTGCCTAGAACCTGGATAAGGAAAGTCCCTGAGGGCTTTGAAGAACAATCTAAGAAACAGAGGAAAATCAATGAATGCTCACAGCTGGCCCTGTAGTGTTGGCAAATGGCCAGGCATTAACAGTGAGGAAGGATACCCTGGAAAGTTTGGGGAAAGGTGCGGAGACCAGGAATAGACATTGCCACACTAATGGGAGATGGGCAGTTGTTGTATTGGTGACAAAACAAGAAACCCCAAAGAGAAGATAGGAGAAGGTGCTTGCTGTAGTTACAGGACACTCACAGCAGCAATCTCAGATCCTTAATACCAGATACTGAAGCATCCAATAACTCTGCAGAGGAGGAGGATAAAGTAGTGAACATAAGAAGGTAGTAATAGCAGTAGCCAAGTGAAAAAGTTGTGGTGTAAAAGATAAAGAAGTCCTAATGTTTAGGTTACAGTGGGAGGCTAACAAGTATAGAAAATAGATATTAAGGGTTAGAAGTGAAAGCCTTTCTATAGAAATAAAAATACAGTACTGGAAAAAGTCAGTTCAAAATAAAGTATAAAAGTATAGGACTAACACTGTAATAACTGATTGACTGAAAAAATATATACATACATACACACACACACGCGCGCGCGCGCCATTAAGTCATTGTCAGCTCTTAGCGACCACATAGATAGATTTTCTCCATTATGATTTGTCTCTAACCTGGTCCTTCAGCTGTGCCAACAGCACCCCCATCGCCACTGTAACTGAGTCTATCCAACTTGCTGCTAGTCGTCCTCTTCTTCTGTTTTCTTCCACCTTTCCCAGCATTAGAACCTTCTCCAGAGAGCTAGGTCTTTGCATAATGTGTCCAAAGTAGAATAATTTGAGCCTGGTCATTTGTGCCTCAAGTGAGACTGATCCATTTGTTTGTTTTCTTGGTTGTTGACAGATAAAATTAAATATAGATAAGAATAAGGACATGTTGAAACACAATAAAAATTAAATAGATATAATGGAGTACAAGAATAGGAAATACAACTATAGTAAAATATAAGCTAAGTTACAGAAAGTAAATAAGTCCTTGGGAATAGATGCAGAGAGGTAAGAGAATGAAGTGTAAGGAATAAGAAATCACATCCCTATTTGTAAAAAACAACAAAACCAAGTTGATTTTGAACTTATTTTGTAATTAAAAAAAGAACTTGGCTTGTATCTTGGGGTCTGGTCCATCCCCTGGGTCTGGTCCATCCCCAAACCAGTAGTAGTATGCTATACGTTTCCATGGAGCTCTTTTATCTATGAAATTACTACAACTGTAGAAATCCATTGTGAACATCTCATGGTGTACATGAAACCGCTAAGTGAAGCATGCAGAGATGAGATGAAAGTGAATAAACTGAAACATGAAGAGTAGATTAGAATTCCATCTGTTCTAGGTGGGTTTCTTTATGTTAATTTTCTTAAGTTTCAGAGTTTGGGTTTCACTTCAGATATCCAGATAGTTTCAGTGACATTTTTTTTTAGTAGTTTAAGCTTGTGCACCAATTGTGACATCTTCTAGGTGGAGATAGACTGTCCAGTTCTTAATCCTGGTAAGTACTAATGAACTGCAGCAATATAATTGAAGACATTTATGAAACTTTGTTTGGATCAAAATTCAACAACTAGAATGCTGATTGCCAAGGATTGTTTAGAATATATCTTACCATTGTTGGAAAATAATGTTATCATTGAAACACTCTGATTATCTGGGCGTGCCCATGTTTAATTGATAGTATTGGTCTTATTCTGGTCTCAGGCTGTAAAAGTTTTACAGGCTTCTAAAACACTGCCTGCTCCTATATAAAACAAGATATTCTCTGAAGTCATACCCTTTTATGGGTGCATCCACTTTTTGAGTTAGGGAATGGATTGAGAATTGGAACTTCATTATTACTGATAGGACTCTGTAGGTTTATAATAGGTGTTTAAAATGATATGTTGCATGCATAGATATGGAGAAACTATGTTATAATTGCATTTTCATAACTTTCCGTAGAAAATCTCTTCAGTTGGATTAACTCATTCATGGCAATTTTTTAATAGATGGCAATTTCTATTGCAGCATGTAAAATGAACATATTATACTATGTGCAATAAGTATTAGACTATCTACAATAACAATTTAACTGAAAGTGGAAAACCATCTCCCACAAATTGAATAGAAATCTTCTTACATCTTATATCCCCAACAGGATAGCAAATAGCATAGTATTTATTTAATTATTCTGTTGGATGGATGGACGGACAGATGGACAGACAGATTCTAATTATAGTGATTGCTTTATTATATAAGAATGTAGAATTAGAAAACCTAAGTAGTAAAGATTAAATTCTCATAATGTGTTTGTATGCATGTATATCAGAAAGAGTATTATTTGTGGATGAGTGCCATGGTGATCTAGATGTCCCTGCTGCAGTGGGATGGCGTTTACGATGGAGATTGGCAGCTGGATGCAGGATCCAGGTTACCAAAAACTCTCTGGAGAAAGGAGAGATCTTGAGATAGCCCTCATGCACTCTGGACAGCTGCTCCTCATGAGTAGACCACAGGAATCAATGTTTTGCGGTCAGCTTATGAGTTGAGCGGCTGGGAGTCCAAGGAGGAGCCATCTTTGCTCAGTCATTAAGGCAGCCTTTTTTAAGGACATAAAGCTTGACCGAGCCTCATTTCTTAATCACTTTGGATGTATTTTTTTATTGCTTTGGAAATATTAAGACTCTTCGGAATGTTAAGCTTTACTGCATTCACTGGATGAGTCACTTTCTCCTTTGAGAAAGAATTTTTAAATGCGATTTTAAAGATTTGGAAAAATATTATTTTTGGGATTAAACAGCAAAAGGGTGCTTAGAGTACTGACTTTGGAAAGTTAACAATGGATTAAGGGTCTAGATGGACTTGGAAGTATAATTTTAAATTAATTAGAAGGATTCTTCTCGTGGGAAACTGTGATTGCTTGGATTTCCTTAAGAAAAACATGATAGAATGGGACTTTGAAGCTGGGACACTAGAGGGAGCTAGAAGATAATAAAGACCAGCTAAAGGAAAAGAAAACTTAGATTCAACTTGTTAACAAAGAATGGAGCAAAATACTTTAACGATGGAAATTTTGATGCATATTTTTGAACAGTGGTCTTCGAAATTGTCTGATATGATAGATGGAGTGTTAATGAAGTTACAGATGAAGAACAAGTTACACCGGATAAGTTTGAAATCAATTTGAATATGGATTTGAATGAGACGAGCAATGAGGAGGATATGGAAAAAGATGTACTGGACATACAAATTAAGCCGGTTCATGTTTCAATACTTAAAGGAGATATACAACTACTAAATCAGAAAAGCAATTGAATAACTTCTTTCTTATTGGATATAGAAAAGAGGTCTGCTAAAGTCTTGAAGGATTTTTTGAGAAGTGACAAAAAAAGGACAAACTTTTCTTACTGGATGTACAAAAGATGAGAAGAAATCAAGCTCTTGGGACCTATTTGAAGGGGTTAAAAATCAAAATTTTTAACAGTATAGGGAAGGAATACAGGGTTGGCTTATTTGAACAAGGTTAAAATAGATAATTAGTTATACCTGGTGACCCTTACTGGACTTTTGCTGATAAGGAACGAATGATGAGGCTTTTGGATTTTGTTTTTTAGTTAAAAGATAAGATATGGGGTGAAGAGAGTATTTCTGGTACTTTAAGAGATGGTGCTAAGTTACTAAAATTGTTTATACTTGTGATGAAGGGGGAAGTTACTTCTTTTTTCTTCTTTTCTTCTTTTTCTTTTCTACATTTTTTTCTTTTTCTTTTTTCCTTTTTTAATGTTTTTTGTAGTCTGTATTAGTTTTTATTTTCTCTATTTGTAATTTTTAATAAAATTATTTTTTAAAAAAGAAAGAGTATTATTTGCCAGTGGCACAACAGACTATTTTTAGACTCTCACATATGTATTGTTTTGTCTTTTGGAAATAATTACTATATAAAAGATTACCTATTATTCAATTTTCAAATTTTCTTATCTCTTAATATTATTTTTACAAAAACTAGACTTTATACTTTAAGATGAATGGCCAAGACTTATAGATCCAAAATAGTGGTGCTCCACCAAAGAAAATATTTAAGAGATTATGCCAGTTTTTTTCCTCCCTTGTTTTCAGATATTAGTAGTATTTACCATTCACAGTCACTCGATCAATAAACTGTCAGAACTCTCTAACAGGGGCTTGAATGTCCAAAACAGGCTTGATATCTAAAATAGTGGCTCTACATCAAGGAAAGTGTTTGGGAAATTATGCCAGTTTTTTAAGTATCAGTAGCATTTAATATTCATGGTCATTGAATCAATGAAACTGTCAGAATTATTTCCAGTAATCAGGACTGAAAATAAACATTGAAAGAATCTTTCTGTGTTCAGATTAGTAAGATTTAGTGAGAGAAAGGTTAGGGTGTTACACAAGAATTGCAACAAGTGCATTTCAAATGTGCAGCAATTCAGAACCATTAGCATCTTGAACGCTTTCTCCTATCTTTTTATTGAAGCAGGGAAGAAGGTGGGCCACACTTTACACAGCAGCTACTAGCCACTTTATTAGAGTGAGAATCCATTCAGGATCCAACACTATGGGGTTAATTCCCTCTTCTGGTGAAAAGCCAGGGCAGGAGTAAAGAAATTTATTCCACCCTGGGAGGAATTCTCCCCTTTCCAGTCTTCGTTTTGCATTCTCAGAGAAGAGCAATAGGCTTGGCTCCAGGATCTGGAGTCAATCTTCATGCAAAAAAGAGGGGTGGGGGGAAGCAGCTTGAATGGTCACAGTCCCCAGAAACCTGTATTCAGTCACTATATGGAAGGAATTATGCCCCCCCAGCTCTGTATTTGTGGCCAGCTGAGATACATCTAAAGTTATAGGACTGGAAGAGTCTTGAACCTGACTCAACCTTCAATTGCTGAGCTCAATTTTTTTTAGTATAGCACTTCAGATAACCATGTTTCATCAAACTAGTAATTGATCAGATTAATGAAATACTAACACACCTTTGAAGTGTCTTATTAATATTCAGTCGATGGGTCTTATCCACATACTGGAGATACATTATTCATATGGACAATTTAATTCAACTAAGTGATGGCACTAAAATTGTCAAGATTGGCAGGGGGGTGGGGAATCTGTGTAATTCTCACTTTAAAAATACAAATCTCACATACAGTTTTTTTTTTTTAATTACCTTACGTATTTCTTAACAAATTATTTTCTTTTCATCCATGTAGGGTGATGTTGGGCTCGCTATGGGTAAACTGTATGGAAACGATTTCAGTCAAACTACTATTTCTCGCTTTGAAGCCTTGAACCTCAGCTTTAAGAACATGTGCAAGTTAAAACCACTTCTGGAAAAGTGGCTCAATGATGCAGGTAAATAATTCTCTGGATTCTCTCATAATTTCACAGCAGATCTCTGGAATTCTGAAAGCACTTCCTGTGAATGTTCTTGAGGATATGAGTACGCTTTGCAGGAATGTATCTAAATAAGACTTAGTGCATTATAGAAAAAGAATATATGGAACAAGATTTATAAGTAAACCTTGACAGATTTTTCAAAAGAAATCTTGTACAATATTAGCTAAAGTGTAAAGCCTTTCTGTATCTGTGATTTATTTATAGTTGTTTTTTTTTAAAAATCATAAGTATTCCATTAAATTTATATTCCTAGGGCTAGTGCTGAAAAATACCTGAGCAAGAATATTAAATGACAGACATCAAACTTTGGCTAAATCTAAATAAAGATATATGCAGTTTCCTACAGTGTAAAGCCATATGTTTAATAAGTAAAATTCTTAGTGGATATACTTGTGCCAAGTTGATTTCATTCATTGGCATTCTGAGTCTCCTTTCTGTTTGCAAGTGGCCGAGCTGCTTGTTTCACTGGAGTGGGTTTCTGCATAAGGGACTCAGGTCCCAAATAATAGAAACTGGAGGTATGTACTTTTGTTAGGCAAGCACAATTAATGAAATCTACTTTCTTTAAACTAAGTTCCTGTTTACATTACACTACTTTAGTTACCATGATTAACGTGATGTTTTTGCAGAAAACCTCTCATCTGATTCAGCTCTTTCCAGCCCAAGTGCCCTGAATTCTTCAGGGCTGGGGATTGAGGGCTTGAACCGTAGGAGGAAGAAACGCACCAGCATAGAGACCAACATACGTGTGGCCTTAGAGAAGAGTTTCCTGGAGGTCAGTACCTGTTGTACTGTATTATTTTGTTATATAAGGCTCTAGCATCTATTGCAGTAATTTAAAAAAATAGTTTGATGAAATGGGGTGCAAATTTTCATATATACACACACACAGTAGTGCTTAAAAGTTTGTGAACCCATTTGAATTTTCAACATTTCTGCATAATTATGACCTAAAAGATGATCTGCTCTCCAAGTCCTAAAACTAGATAAAAAGAACCCAATGAAACAAATGAGTCAGAAACATTATACTTCTTAATTGATTTATGGAGAAAAATGATCCAAAGCTACATATTTGTGTGTGGCAAAAGTATATGAAGCTATGGGATTATCAGTTCATTTGAAATCAGAGTCAAGTGTTTCAGTCAATGGAATGATAATCAGGTATGAGTGTGGGAGGTGTTGCCTTATTTGAAGAACAGACTTCTGGGTATTCATGATCAAAGTCTGAACTTCACAACACATTGATCCTCACTACGCTGGAAAAGGTTACAAAGCTATTTCCAAAGAGTTTGGACTTCACCAGTCCACTGTCAGGCAGATCGTGTACAAATGAAGGCACTTCACCATTGTTATCCTCCCCAGGAGTGGTCAACCAACCCAGATCATACCAAGAGCAAGGTGTGTAATACTCTGGGAGGTCTCAAAGAACCTCAGGGTAGCGTCTAAGAACTAAAGGCCTCTCTTGCATTGACGAATGTCAGTGTTCATGAGGCCATCATCAGGAGATTGCTGAACAAAGGTGTGCATGGCAGGGTTGCAAGGAGGAAGCCACTGCATTCCCAAAAGAACATTGCTGTTTATCTACAGTTTGCAAAAGACCATGTGGATAAGCCAGAAGGCTGTTGGAAGAATGTTCTGTGGATGGATGAGACCAAAATAGAACTTTTTGGCTTGAATAAAAAGCATTATGTTTGACGAAAGGCAAACACATTTTATTAAGAATGCAGAACTTACCCCATCTGTGAAACATAGTGGTGGTAGTATCATGGTTTGGGCCTACTTTGCTGCCTCTGGACCAGGACAGCTTGCCATTACTGATGGAACTATGAATTCTGAACTATATCAGCAAATTCTACAGGAAAATGTCAGGGTATCTGTCTGTGAAGTGAAGCTCAAGAGAAAGTTGGTCATACAGCAAGACAACAACCCAAAACACAGAATTTGTTCAGCCAAATAATGGTTTAAGCAGAAGAAAGTTAATGTTTTGGAATGGCCAAGTCATAGTTCTGATCTTAACCCTATAAAAACGTTGTGGAAGGACCTGAAGTAGGCGATTCATAGAAGGAAGCTACCAACATCCCTGAATTGAAGCTGTTCTCTGTAAGGAGGAATGGGCTAAAATTCTTCCAAGTTAATGTGCAGGACTGATTAGCAGTTATAATAAACATTGCTGCCTAAGGGGGGCACATCAGTTACTGAATGCAAAGGTAACTTTTACCACCCGCAAAAATGTAGCTTTGGATCATTTTCATCAATAAATAAATGAACAAGTATAATGTTTTTGACTCATCTGTTTAATTTGGGCTCTCTTTATTTAGTTTTATTTATTTATGTATTTATTCATCAAATTTATATGGCTGCGCATCTCAAGAAAAAGTGACTCTGGGTGGCAAACAATAAAACTATAATACGGTTAACTTATAAAAAACAACCATTATTAAAACAAATTAAAAATACTAAAAATTCAAAAAGTTCACAAACTTTTAAACATCACTGTATATATAAAAATACTGTTTCCCTTAATACTGTGTGTGAATCATGAGCATTCCCTCTACGTGTTTCCTAAAACAAATGGAAGACAAACAGGTATCTCCCTTGCAGTGAAATGTCATTTGCATTTTTATATTTATATTTAATTTTTATTTTAATAAATAATTGAAAGTGCAACCAAGGGAAAGAGCAGAAAAAGAAATAAGAGCAAAAAGAAAAGAGAAAAGAGATTTATAAGCTGTATAAAATTGAATAAGAATTTTCAAGGTAACATTAGATTAGCATTGCGTAAAAGATGTTACATCAGTATAACATTTCAAAACCATTATTAAAATCAAAACAATATTCAGTAATTAACAAAGGCAGCTAGTATAATAAGAATTATCAATCAGAATTAACTATTAATAAGAATTAGTATCTAATCAAAGAATATCTATTCTTATTGCAACAACTCAGGCAAGATCTAATAATTTAACAACTTACATTAACAGAAACCCAAACTTAAGATACAGTACAATTCCATATGCAGAATTAAGATCTACCAAATTAAATTCAATTCCATATCATACTTTTTTCCAAATACAAAGTTATTTTTGACATTGAGGCATATTCCCACAACTTATTCTGCTATTCTTTTAGAGAAAGAATCAGATGTGATTTCCAGTGAAAGGCATATAAAGTATCCTAGGAGTTATATATGAGGCCAACTCCACATAGGGATATAAAATTTGGTGATGTTACCAGAAAAACAGCTGGCTGAAAAGAGAATTTATACTTAAAGATTTGTTTCACTCGGTAATGAGATATAATTTGCAGATGTGCGTGGCATAGTAGTACTTACTTCCATTGTTGCAGCTTCCTTTTAATATGGAAAGCTATTACAGGTCCAAACTATATCATGTAACAGAAAATAGTCTAAATAACAAAAATATCAGTATCATCCTCTTACTATTTTTAATGTGAGGAATTATTACATTATCTTCCAGTCTAACATAAACCAGAAAAACAGCTGGCTGAAAAGAGAATTTATACTTAAAGATTTGTTTCACTCGGTAATGAGATATAATTTGCAGATGTGCGTGGCATAGTAGTACTTACTTCCATTGTTGCAGCTTCCTTTTAATATGGAAAGCTATTACAGGTCCAAACTATATCATGTAACAGAAAATAGTCTAAATGGTTTATCTTTCAGAACCAAAAGCCTACCTCGGAAGAGATAACCATGATAGCTGACCAGCTGAACATGGAAAAAGAGGTGATCCGTGTTTGGTTCTGTAATCGGCGCCAGAAGGAAAAAAGAATTAACCCACCTAGTAGTGGTGGAACCAGCAACTCGCCCATCAAAGCAATGTTCCCTTGTCCAACTTCATTGGTAAAAATTCAAAACCATGTGAATTATGTTAGACTGGAAGATAATGTAATAATTCCTTACATTAAAAATAGTAAGAGGATGATACTGATATTTTTGTTCCTAAGGATCTCAAAATCTGAGATTTATGATCAGTGGTCATTAATGTACCGAGTTCAGTTCTTATTATTCCTATTTTGTACTTGGTGAAGAAAGATACTTATGCACCTAAAGCATGAAGCAAAACAAAGCATAATTTCATATGTCACTTTGAGTACTGTATTTAAATCTCTCTTTATAGTATGCTAGTATATTTAATTTTGTTCTTCCACATATAGGAAGGTTAATGATTTTCTAAAGATAACAAAAGGCAATAATACAGCTTCTTATGGTAAAAATCTAAAGCTATATAGAGGTTTGCATTTGATTCCTTTATTCATTGGTGACATCCGTTTTTTGTTAAGAGTTCGGCTATTTTCTTTTGACCCATAGGTGGCAACTACACCAAGCCTTGTGACAAGCAGTGCAGCTACCACTTTGACTGTCAACCCTGGGCTCCCTTTAACCAGCGCAACTGTAACTAGTTTGGCAGTCACAGGTAAGAAGCCGTTCAGACTGCAACTGCATATGAAGGCTTGCTCTTTTGAAGACAAAATTATCATCATCGCAATCTCTCTATACCTGTCCTATCAGAGTAGTTTACAAGGAAAAATATATATAGATAAAACCATCACAATAAAACCTAATGCTTAAAAATAATCAGTACAAATATCAAAATAATATTCATTTAAAAACACACAAGTAAAATAATCGAAATATTTAACTGCAGCCAAATTCTGAAGTAGTTATGCCAAAATTGCCTGGGTGAGTAAACATATCTGCAGTGGTTTTCTGAAAGAAGAGAAGATGGAACCAAGCCAAACTCCTCTCAAGAAGCAGTTCCATAATTTAGTTATTAAACCAGTAGATCACTCGTGTTACTCTCATTCAGGGTTATTGCTTTTTTAAAAGATGCCAAGGTTTGTTTGCATCTATTGGAAACTCTTTGGAAACTGTTGCTATCATATGTAAATCTTAATTCAGATTGTAGAAAAAAATTGAATGACATCTGAGAATATTTAATAGACATGTGCAATTCATTGTGTATGTAGCAACAAAAAGGAATTTTCCTGCAACTTTTGATTAGGCTAAAGTTGGGAGTTGCATTTCTTTTTTTCTAAATAATAGAGCTCTTGGCCAAATATAGAATTCCTATTTGAAGTATAAAAATGCATTTATAGAAAGGCAGACTTTCTCGTGTGGACTGCATTGTTAGCAGAGGGAAATATTGAGCTGAAACATGGTACAACAAAAGCTGTGTTCTTTGCTGAGAGAGCTTTAGAAGAAATAATTCTGATCAAAAATTTAGCAAATACGTATTATAGTTCCTCAAATCAGACGAATGGGTAGAGCTTAGTCATAAACTCTGCAGGCAGCCTGGGAAGATGGTATGTTTGAACCTTGTTTCTTAATACAGTGATGATTGCCTAGTGTTTTGGAGTATATTGAGTTTTTTAAATAAAGTATTGTTTGATACTGACTCAGTCTTTAATTGTCGATATTAAGTGTGCATGAAAAAGAGTCAATGAGTGTGCAAGGTGAGAGAGACTAAAATCAGTTCAAATAATACACATACCTGATTCACTATAGCTGTGTTAAAAACTGACTTCTGTGACAGGATTTTCAGCCATTAGGTACAAGTTATAATGAACTCTATGTGGCTGTTGAATGAATTTTGCGTGTGAAATGCTTTAAATGCAGCAATAGAAATATTGAGTATAATTCCCTCTACTTAAAAAATTCAGAGATGACTGCTAATTGTTCTGTAGCCAAAATGGTTGCACCAGCAAAAAGAAGATACCAGCAAGCTTCGGGGGAACCCCAAGATTTGCAGAAGTAACAAGAAAAAGTCTTTATGAAAAATAAGAGCTCAAAGGATAGAACAGAAACTGACTTTAAAAAATGGAGTAATTTCAATGCTACTAAATGTTTGGCTGATTTGCACTGGGGCCAGGAGTACTGCAACAGTGTTTTGGAAAAAGCACTAAGATTACAACATAGAGATTGAGGAGGAGCTTGACAGCATCAAGAAAGTGTATGTGAATCCTGATAAAAAGTTAGTCCGGTGTTCAAGCCCTCAGTTGAATTAGGGTTATTCCACATACCGAATGCCAAATATTGAACGATTTTCAAAATCATTGATCTATGAGTGTCCAGGCCTAGTTGGAAATAATATTTTGGATTTATCAAAAGAAATAGAATGTCAATGTCACTCAATGTCAATGTCGTTGAAATTGAGATAATCCATCTAAGTTGGATCCTTCGCTTATGATATGATTTCTTGATGTATTTTGTTTGTTCTTGGTTATCTGTTAGGAGCAAGGCTCTGCTTGTCTTATTCACATGTTAGGAGAGGACAGTGAGAAAATACTTGTTAAAGTAGTTTATAAATCAAATCAAAATACAACTAAATGTGACATATAACAGGCATAAAAGCAACAGAAACAGTTCTATTAATTTTAAAACATACTCTGCTTTCTTAGTTAAAAGTGAAAGATGGCATGCAAATTGAAAGAAAAGCAGTAACTCAGCCAGAATACCTGATGCTATATGTTTCTAGACATATTTCAAAAACAGCTTTATAGAGAGGATGTTACAGTAGTCAAGCCTGATAGAATATGAGTAATGTAGTACAGCTCAACAAATGTGTAACTTGTAACCAAGCCAAAGCTAGTAATTCCACATAGGTCACTGCTGTCACCTGAATCTTTAAATGCAGCATGAGGTCAAGAAACATCCCAGTTACAGGTATGATATTTTAGGGGTATATAACTCTGTCAAGGTCAAGCTACACATTTCATCCCATTATGGAAGGATCAGCAAACCTTGTTATTTTGAATCTTTGGTCCAGTTTTTCTGATGGGGAAGGTTTACTGTTAATCTTCAAGTTGTGCTCATTTGTTTGTACTCTGAAGCCCTTTTCTGTCTGGCTGTTTGAACTACAGGTAGTCCTCGCTTAATGACCACAATTGGGACCGGCAGCCCTGTCGCTAAGCGACACAGTCATTAATGAGACATCACGTGGCCGCAACGGACTTACGACCTCACTTTCACTGCAGTTGTTAAGCAAGACATCACGTGACCGCAACTTGCAATTTTACTGCCGGCTTCTCCATTGATTCTGCTTGTCGGAAGCCGGCTGTGAAGCGCGCAAATGGCAATCACGTGACTGCGGGATGCTGCAGCGGTCGTAAGTGTGAGGACTGAGTTACTTTTTCAGCACCATCATAACTTCAAATGGTCTCTAAACAGGGCAGTCACTAAGCAAGGACTATTTCTATCTTCCCTGAGTTAGCCACTGTATGTACTCAAACTCTTTGCTCTTTTGTTTCACCAGAACAACATCTGCTCTTGTCTTCCATCTAGCGATAAGTCTCATCCAGGTATTTCAAATATTGTATTATTTTAGGCACTACAGAAACCATCCCCAACAACGCAGCAACCGTAATTTCTACGGCACCTCCAGCTTCTTCAGCAGTAACGTCACCCTCCCTAAGTCCTTCTCCTTCTGCCTCCGCTTCCACATCTGAGGCATCCAGTGCCAGTGAAACAACCACGACACAGGCAACCTCCACCCCCATGTCCTCAGCACTTGGGACCAGCCAGGTGATGGTAACTGCTTCTGGATTGCAAACTGCAGCAGCAGCTGCACTACAAGGAGCTGCACAATTGCCTGCAAATGCAAGTCTGGCTGCCATGGCAGCTGCAGCAGGATTGAATCCAGGCTTGATGGCATCTTCCCAATTTGCAGCTGGGTGAGTATCTTTAAAATGTGTTTGTAATGTATCAAGTTAAGTGAGAGAAACTAGGCAGTATTCACATTGCAATACCTTAATCTAAAATACATGGTGATTAAAAATCTACAGATCTTGTTAATTCTCCATCTGGTAATGAAAAGTATAATGTTTGACATTTTTCTAGTTTAAAAATATTTAGCAGAGTTACAATTCTTGTTCATATTTCTATCACTTTCGATAGATGGGTTATAGTGTGTTTATTTTAATAATATGTATATTTAAATAATATGCTTCAAAATGCATATTAATGGCATATTAATGTATAATCCAAATTCAATAATTTACTTAATAGACTTGCTTCAGTTCTTGTAATTAAAATACTGGAATAATTTTGCCCTTAAACTACTCACCTCTTTTTTTTTTCTTTTGGGTTGGTTGTTTTGTTTTGCTTCCTGTTTTGGATTTGCAGAGGTGCCTTACTCAGTCTCAATCCTGGGACGCTAGGTGGTGCTCTCAGCCCAGCTCTGATGAGCAACAGTACATTGGCAACTATTCAAGGTTAGTTACTCCACTAGATTTTCTATTCCTGTTAAGTTTCTATGTTCTTTTTTCTTCTTTACCAAAGCTGCAGATAAGTATAATTAAAATGTAAAGACCCAGTTGAAATAATTGAATAGGGATTTACTTCTAAAGAAACATAGATGAATAAAAGTGTCTATTTCAATCCATCTTAGGGTGAAAGGCAACAGATAAACCCCCGATATGTAAGTTCAAATATTAAATTACATAAGGAATCTTTGTCATCTGTCACCTTAACTGCCTTGTAACTTGCTGTGAAGTCAGAGAGTTTGTTAGGATCAGTGGTAAAACCAAAATACATACTTACGTATTTATTTATTCATTTATTCGGTTTCTGTGGCCACCCATCTCCAATAAGTGACTCTGGGTGGTGAACAATCATAAAATCAATTAAAAACAAATACAAAAAATAAATATATATAGCAGCTGAGAAAAATCATAAGTGTAGATGTAAATATAAGCTGGAAACAGGGCCCTTAACGTACGTGGGGTCCAGGCCTGGGCACACAACCAGGTCTTCAAGGTCTTACGAAAGGCCAACAGGGTTGGGGCCATCCTAATCTTTGGAGAGAGAATATTCCAGAGGGCAGGGGCTACGGCAGAGAAGGCACACCCCCTAGTCCCCGCCAGCCAACATTTCTTTGCTGATGGGGACCCCAAGCATACCCATCCTGCCAGACCAAATTGGTTGGGTAGAAACTGGGAGAAGATGGTCCCTCAGGTAACCTGGTCCCAAGCCATGAAGGGCTTTAAAGGTGACAACCAGCACCTTGAATTGCACCCAGAAACATAGTGTTACAAAGCTTACAAAGTAATGGTGTTACATGTGTCAAATATCTGACACCATTTACTATCCATGCAGCTGCATTCTGCTCTAGTCGAAGCTTCTGAATGCTCTTCAAGGGCAGCCTCATATAGAGGGCATTGCAGTAACCCAGACAGGAGGTCACGAGGGCATGAATGACTGTGAGCAGAGCCTCCTGGTCCAGGAATGGGCACAGCTGGCACACAACCCAAAAAGGCACAAAGGCCCTTCTAGCCACAGCTGCCACCCGCTCTTCTAGCAGGAGCCATGAGTCCAAGAGGACCCCCAGATTGCGCACCAGGTCCATCTGGGGCAATGCCACTCCATCCAGAACTAAATGTGGAAAAACCTTGACACCAGAAGGCCCAAGTACCCAAAGCCACTCCGTCTTGCTTGGGTTGAGCCAAAGCCCATTGCACCCCATCCAGGCCCATACAGCCTCCAGGTACTGGGACAGGACATCCACAGCATCGTGGGTTAGAGGTACAAAGCTGGGTATTATCAGCATACTGATGATATCTCATCCCAAATCGTTGGATCACCTCACCCAGCGCATCATGTAGGTGTTAAATAAGAGGGGAGAGAGGACTGAGCCCTGCAGCACCCCACAAAGTAGGGACCGCAGGATGGACCTCTCCCCCCCATCAACACCAACTGTAACTGACCCCAGAGGAAGGAGGAGAACCAGCATAACACAGTGCTGCCCACCCCCAACTCCTGAAGCCTGTCCAGAAGGATACCATGTCTGATGGTATCAAAGGCCGCTGAGAGTTCAACAAGAGCAAGGATGGATGCACTAACCCCACCCCGCTCCTGCCACAGGTCATCCAATAGCACGATTAATACTGTTTCAGTCCCTTAGCCCAGCCTGAATCCTGACTGAAAGGGGTCCAGTTAATCCACTCAATCCAGAGTCCTCTGAAGTTGCCATGTGACCACTTCCTCCACAATCTTCCCTAAAAAGGGTCGAGCAATGGCCCCTTGAGGACAGGGCTCACCACTGCCTCCTTAAGAGCTGGTGGGACCATCCTTCCCTCAAGGAAGAATTAACCACTGCCAGACCCAATCACACGTCCTCTGTGCAGCCTTGGCTAGCCAGGAGTGGCATGGATCTAACACAGAAGTGGCCAAACTAACAGCTACAAGAACCCTGGCCACTTCCTCAGGTTCAGCAGGATCAAACTCCTCCCAGAGAACCATGCAAGACTCAGCCCCCGTAACCTCCACTGGCCCTGCCCCCAGGCTGGAGTCCAATGCAGAATGAATCCAGGTGACTGTATCTTCTAGATGCACAGCAGAATCCTCACAGCAACCCTGTTGGTGAATCCCAGTAATAGTCCCTCCAAGGAGGGACCGGGTTACCCAAAACAGGGCTGCTGGGAAGCTATCTGCAGATGCAGTAAGGGCAGAGAAATAATTACATTTTGCCACCCTTACCACCACAAGGAAGGCTTTAATAGTGGCTCTAGCCCGTGTTCTATCATCTTCGCTCTTTGTTGTTTGCCAGCGGCACTCTAGGCATCTCTTCGCCCTTTTCATCTCCCTCACCTCATCCATAAACCACGAAGAGTTTCAGGATCTATGGGCACAGAGAGGCCGCTCAGGTGCAATCCAGTCCAGAGCCGCAGTCACTCTCCAGTTCCAAGTGACCACCAAGGCTTCGGCTGGACCATATAGCAGACCTTCCAGAACAACCCCAAGCTCCCTCTGAAACCCAGTCGGGTCCATCAGTCATCTGGGCCAGGCCAATCTAATAGGCTCAGCCTCCCTGTGAAGGGGGGTGGTGACAGAGAACTGAAGGCTTACCAGGAAGTGGTCTGATCGTGACGGGAGAAACCAATATCTCTCTCAAATCCAGAAAACCCTGCCACTGCTCCGATAGAAAACCAGGTCAGGTGTATGATCGTTATTATGCGTTGGGCCCTGAATGACTTGGGACAAGCCCATAGCTGTCATGGTAGCCATGAACTCCCGAGCTACCTCAGACCGTGCCCCAGAGAAGGCAAGTTGAAGTCCCCCAAGATCATAAGCCTGGAGAACTCCACCAACCTGGCCACGGAGTCAGGAAGCTCAGGCAGGGAGGTTGCTATGCAGCAGTACAATAGCAGCAGTCCCAACTGAGCCCTTTTAGAGCCCAGCTTAGCAAATAGGGTCTCTACGCAGCAATCTGAGGAGCAGCATCCCTCCTCCCAAATATCTCAGATGATCACCACCACCCCTTCTCTGGGGTCTTGGCTGGTGCCACACCCCGAACCCAGCTGGGCACATCTCAAAAAGGCGCCCCACCCTGTCCCAGCCAGGTCTCAGTAATGCACACCAGGTCGGCCTTCTCATTGACAATCAACTTATGAATGAGGATGGCCTTATTGCAGGCCAACCTGTCATTCAGCAGCAACAGCCTACAACCCAGGGCCTTGAAAGTCCGCCATCCGGGGCCCGGATAAAAGGCTTCTTCCGTCGGTGGCGGCAGCACCAGTCTCCTTCCCACCACCGCATCCCTGAAATTCCAGCTTGAGGGGCTGGAATTTCAATATACCTGTGGCACGGTCCCCATGAGTGGCCTGCCCCCCATCTCCCATCATATCTTCCCCTACCCTTCACTACTGGGATGTTATAGCCTGCCCCCATTCCTTCAGAGCCTTTCCCCTCCCCATCCCTAAAGATCCATGCCCAAGCCCGCCCACCCCCACCTTACACAACCAACAATAAACCAACCTGGGGCTCCCTAAAACCAGAGGCACTACTGCAGCGCACTCAGGGCCTCCAGCTAATCAGGGATCCACCTCACCCTATATACCATCACACAATACCCCCATATACCACCATACGATGCCTTCAACCAGTCCGCTCTCACTGGACTGGTTAGGCCCACAAATATCTGCTGTCCTAGTGGTCCAAAGCCCCCCCCCCCCCCCCTC